GTATTAATTCTCACAGAATTATTTTGCTGCTGCTTCCATGTTCTATAGAGTTATCAGAAAACGATTTCAAAATAAAAGCGTGCCAACCGTCGTAGATCGCTAGTTTCAGTGTAATTTAGCTTTGATGCTTTTATTTTGAAGAGAGTCTTCTGTTGCCCACCTGGCAGGTAACCCGCTCGTCTCCTGTCTGATCCCTGTTTTGAGTAAAATGTCTGAAGCTTCTGGATTCTGTCAAATACTTCAGGTAAAGTCGCGTGTGTCACTGTCTCAGGTTGACTGATGATTCAATTATCGCTCAAGTGTTCGGGAAACGTGTGAGTTCATTCTCGTACGGGCCGTTTGTTTGGCTAAGAGTTAACAGCTAGCTAGCGCCAATTAACGTCATGGGAAGTTCAGTACGCGCAGTTAGTTACAGAAAGTTACAAAATGGCGGCTTGTATAAACATGAGCACTATTGCTGCGCTAAAAGGAAAAAGCAAATTGTTTGCACTGTCAAGCGCAGGTATATTTGTAACATTAACTGTGGCTGCATTCAATTCCTCAGTAAAATGGTGGTGGGCCTTGTTAAAGTGTTTTGTGGCTCACTGGCTTTTAACAGGAGGCTTAATAGAGCAGGACCATAATTAATGTCAATAGGTTCACCTGAGGTGTCTCTGCCATGAACTGAATTAATTCACTTCACATTCAGCTCTAATCTGCGTTTCCCTCTGTAATAGTTTTAAACCAACCTATTGTAAACCTCTATGAATTTACTGACGGCTGTTTATCTGACCAGCTGCTTCTCACTGTGCAGGGTCATCCTCAGATGTTTCACCAGGTCACCATGTGTATCCAGCTCAGTATGGCGGACAGTAGAAGTTGCACTGTTCCCAAATCTCTTTAAGTTCATCAAAGCAGTGGGTGAATTCTTCCCAAAGAGTGAGTACATTGAGATGTTTTCTGTTCCTAATGGCAGACAAGGCTCCTTGTATGTCTATTTTCCACAAATACTAGTCCATAACTTTTTGTAGGTGCCTGAAATTGGCTTTTTACATTATTGTGTCTACAAATTATGAAGGGTCTTCAACTGAGTCTTCAACTTGGGGATACAAACTCTGATCTTGACATATGAGTCATTCTCTGTCAAGTCATCAAACCTTTGGGCTGTGCTGTCACAGGTGTTGATGTAATTTGGCATACTGATTTTGGTCAGTTTTACAAAAATAACAGCATTATTATCAATATACATACATCAATATAACAGTTAAGGGTGAATTGCAAAAAAAAAAAACCTGCTGCTTAAAATTTCACCAAGGTAACTTATAACGTCACTGTGACCTTCAGAAAGTTTACTCTTTACTTTTTTTAGTTGTTGATGAGTGATCCTCACTTATCTAAAGTGGCATCACATCACTAATTCTTAACAATGTTGTTCAACTGCTGAGCAATGTACAGTCAAGCACATGAAAAATACTAATTCACATCTCTTTTGATGGGCTCCCAGGCTAAATGTTAATTCAATGGAATTCACTCTTGCGTTTCACTATAATAAAAGCAAGGAGTTTATGTTTAAACTCAGGTCTAGAGAGTTTTAATGGGATCTTTTGACAATGCATGCTGCTTAAAGTCAAATGCATCATCATCATTGGACTTCTGGAGATAATACATTGAGAAATATGAGTCATTATGCTTCGTCCTTCTATCTTCTGTCTTGTAACCATGCAGATAAATTATAATATTGAAGTCCAACGTAGGCAGGCAGTCTTTCCATTCGTCTTATTAAATGGCCCAGAGCTGTGCTCTGTGATTCTCCAATGTGTTTGATATCTCATTTGGCATTCCCTCTGTGTGCAGCCCTCGTTATCGTATTCCTATGGAGTGCACTGGCATTTGACATGCAGACACCAAACACTGTGGCAGCATTGCAGATCAACTGCCTCTCACAGCATTGTTCCCTCTTACAGTGTCATTGTTCCTCTTTCTCTCTATCCTGTTGTGTCTCTCTCATAGACCTCAAACAGGTGATGGGCCCAAGGAACTAGGGGGGGGGGGCTGTCACTTGCTTAAGCCTTAAATTGATTTGAATCAGATTACTGTGTACCAGAGGTGAGGGGGTCTGTGTAACTGTGTGTAGTGTTGGACATGACAGTGAGTACGTTTTTGAGTGCTTTAACCTTTTCCCACCTGGTGAGGACTTTCTTCTTGCGTGTTGTCAGGACATTAATTGATTTGATTTGAAAAATCCATGTCCATTTTAATTTTGAGAAAAAAAGACATATT